CTCTACTAATACTCTCTCTCTCTCTCTCTCTCTCTCTCTCTCTCTCTCTCTCTCTTTCTCTCTCTCTATGTTTTCGTTATTATAATTTCGAATTGTAGTGAATTCGAGACGTGTCTCTAAAGGCCATAAATAGATATAGATGTAGATAATCTAACTTTTATAATATCGAAACATTTTTCGAGCAAAATGAATACGATCGATTCTTCTTTCTTTTTTCTTTCCTTCTTCTATGCGAGATTCGATAAACCTGGGTTCTCAGGTTACTAAAGTTAACACATTCGCACCTAGTGACGCAAACGTGTATATGTACATGTACCACGTCGCCAGAGAACTGTTCTGAAACTATCGAAGGTCATAAATGGACTGACCAACCAGCTTTAACATTTTCACAAAAAAGAAGAAAAATATGTATCTATCTACGTATTCGTTCGTACCTGATTCGTTTCGATAAAATTTCAATTGTTCGGTCGTGCAATTGACTGACTGTCTTATACCGTCTAAAAAAAACTCGTAAAACTTTTTAAGCGTAACGTAAATATGGAGAGAGAAAACGTGTCGTTTTGTCGCGACACTTTGTTCAAGCGCGAACGCGTTTAAACCTTTAGAAGCGCGGTTTTCAAAAATTTTTTGGCAAGGAATTCGACCAGCCTCGATTTAATCTGCACGACTGGCGATCGATAACATCGGGATCTGTGCGTTCGAGAGAGAAGGTTCGAGCGCGGCACCAGGAATCGCGTAAAACAGGAAACGGCTCGAGGAGAGAATCAGAGAATCACGCTTGTCCTCCATTTTGATAGTAACGGGGTCAAGGTCGGGGCATTTTAACGCCGCGAGATCGATCGAACCGCATCGCTCTCTCTCTCTCTCTCTCTCTCTCTCTCTATCTCGATGAATCAAATTCCCTTTCCGCCAATTTTCGCGTGTCGTAAAATTGCAAAGATCGAAAAAGATCTCGATCACGTTTTTTCGAGATTTCCACAGAGAGAAATGCTCAACATACTCTCCCCTCCTCGATCGTTCTTCGAAAACAGGAATTCCTGTGAAAAGTTGAAACGAAAAGGAGAAAAATAGTAAGGAAAGGTCACCCGTAATGAAAAATTGAACGAATACTTTCGTTCGATTTATTATGCTAGCGCGTTGAAAATTTTATCGCGATCGATCGATGCGAAAACAAATGTAAAAAAAAAAAAGAAATCTTCGTTTCCATATTATTTCGATCTATACCGATCGGAAGGGAGAGAAAACAAAAAAAAAAGAAAAACAGCAGAAGAAAGAATCAATTTTCGAAGAAAATCGGAAGAGGCGAGAGAGGGGGGGGAGGGGGAGAGGTAAAGAGAGATAAAAAAAACTCGCAAAAGAAGTTGAATTTCTCGCGATGATTACGCGCGTGCGGATTAAGTGTCGATGACGGAAGGAACGAACGAACGAACGAACGAAAAACGACAGGTGGAGAAATCATACCCCTGAATCTGGGATCCCTCCTCGAGCGCCCCTCTGCAAAGAGGCGGTTCGCGCGATTTCAAGCGGCGAAGTGCTCAGCCACTACGTTTTTCCCGCCTCGATACTTTTCCTCCTCCTCCCCCCTCCCCCAACCTCTACACTCGGTTCTCCTTTCTATTCACGTCTCTTCTTCCCTCTGTCTTCTTACCCCACGTCTCTTCCTTTCAATTTATTACATCTCTCTCTCTCTCTCTCTCTCTCTCTCTTTCCCTTCCTCCATACGTCGCGTTATCTCTCTCGCTTCCTCCATTGTTACGCGCATATATACATTTCTCTTTCTCTTGTCCCTTTCGGTATTATCACCTCGACAACCGCGACTCGAGCGGCTTCTCAATAAAATGCCTCCGTACGTGTCACTTGTCAGGCTTTGTACCCTTCTTGTTTTCTCTTTGCTCTCGAGGAAATATATATATACATACGTGAGAATGGTGATTGGTCGTCGTGTGATTTTCTCTCTCTTTCTCTCTCTCTCTCTTGTCTATTTTTTTCTCTTCTCTCTCTCTCTCTCTCTCTCTTCTTCTCTTCTTTTACCTTTTCTTTTCTATTTACCAATTCGTTTGATCGTGTCCCCTGTAGTAGTACTGGTGAACCGTGTATGTAGCGTGTGTGTGTGTGTGTGTGTGTGTGTGTGAACGTGTGGGTGGAAAAAAGTGGGCGTCTTTTTGTTCGTTATTCGACTGGTGGTCGCTGTTCTCTTTCCAATCTAAAGCTTACGTTCAAAGAAGCGGCAGCAAAAATACGTGATGTACAGACACGTGTACAGTATGTATGTATATATGTATGTATGCATGTATGTATGCATGTGTCCGTATTAACGTGTGTGTGTGTGTGTGTGTGTGTGTGTGTGTGTGTGTGTTAGAG